TTGGTCGGCCCGTTGTTACCTCGGCTTCGCTTCGGTGAGCCGTTTCCCTTTTCCTGCTTCATCTCTTTGTTTCCTGACGTATCTTTCTCGGCTCTGGCGTATTTCTCGATTCTCGCCATGAGTTCTTCCATGCTTTTTGGCAATGTTTTTGCCAAAGACTTCCATAGTGGGCAGTCATCTTTCAGGCCGTTCTTGAAAGATACGACCGCCACTTCTTGGTTGCATTCGGGTATTCGATTGAACACCTCGTAGTACCACTTCGCGTAGGCCCTAAGGTCTTCTTCCTTGGTGATTCTTAAAGCCATCAGGGCGTTGACCCTCAAGGGCTGTAATTTGTTCATCACAAACCTGGCGACAAACATCTCGGCCAAGCCTTCCCATGTCTTTACGCTTCCCTTCGGTAGTTTATGGAACCAATCGGATGTAATTTTCCCAAAGGATGAGGGGACTACTTTGCAGAGCAATGGCTCGTTCCCACTATATAATGCCATTGAGTTCAGGTATAGTCCAACATGAAAGTTGGGATCTGACTTACCATCATAAATTTGGAACCTCGGCATACTGAATCTCTTTGGCGCTTCAAATTTGTCTAATTCCACCGAGAATGGTGTCCTTGGCTTAACTGGGGAAGTTACCTCGGCTTCAACATTCTGTTGCCTCTTCTTGAAGTAATCTCTCATATCTTCTTTACTCCTCCCTGGAGCTTGGCTGTCTTTTGATTTCAATCTTTTTGGCACACTACTTTCGGCCTCGTGGTGGGCTCGTTTTGATCTCTCTCCATGTGTTGTGTCAAAGCAAAGTGCCTGCCCTTGAACATGGCGATGTTCTTTGGGCTCTGGATCCTTCGTGTGATACGTCCTTCGGGACTTTTCTTGTCTCGGCTCCTCTCGTCCGCCTTTCCTGGAAGGTCGGTGAGAGTACCTTCCGCTCCTGGTGTGCTGAGGGACTTCGGGGATTGTTGTTCTTCCTCCCTTCTGGGTATTGGTTGCTGGCATCGGTGTGTCCTGCAGCGGGTATGGTGGCTGCATGACATTATTTTGCATCATGAAGTTGACGACCGACTGTAGGTCCGCCAACTTGTTTGCCAAGTCCTTTACTTCCTCATCCCTCCGTAGGCACCTATCCCTCCATACCTGAAGGTTATCTTCGTTATAGTACTGGCCTTGGTCCGTCTTCTTTGAAGTGTTGCCCTCCTGGCCGATGTTTTTCTCGACGTAGCCTTGGTCATGAATTTCTGCATTGTGGTTGTCTCCTTCAACATCAAGGTCAATTGGTCTGCCACTCCCAACAGGAGTGTCGCCCCTAATGTTTTCCTTTTGTCCGTTACTGGCAATCTATTCTTCTAAGATTCCCACAGGCGGCGCCAAATTGTGTGGGTAATTTTCTGACCACACTGCCCGCTTAGTAATCAGCTGGAGAGCACCGGCAGAATAGATGGCTTTAGCAAACCTGTAACTGAAAGAAAAGGCTCCGGCGGTGGCTCTTCCACCCGGGGGCACTCCTACGATCAAGTCAGTATATCTCTCAAAGATAATCAAGTGCTAAACTCACAAGCTTGAGTATAAAACTGTGTACCTTAGACCTACGGGGGTGCCTCTCTTTTATAGTTTACTCAATCCAAGTCCTACTAGAAGCCTGACTTCTATGGACTCCAATTTAGTACTTACTTTGGATTTCTCAAGAGATAAAGATAAACTCCTTAAGAGCTTTATCCTTATCTTAGCAAAGTCTTCTCCTTACTCTAGGACTCTTATCCCTTATCCACTTATCTCGGATTCCGATATCTTCGGAGATAACCTCGGCACAACTACCATGACACGTGGCACCTCGGCTGACACGTCGGCGTCACCATGCCACGTGTTGGTATTCAGAAAATACATCCCCACATATTTTTTATTATCTTAACTCAAATAGTAGACAAAAAATTCATTATCTTCAATTAAAAACAAAAATAAAACATATATTATCCTTAAATTCTTATTTCACATATTTTTTAATAAGTTAAATGCAGTTACATAAGAGATTAAACAAATGTCATGTCATCTATTAGTGAAAATAATATTAAAATGTGCTCATAATTTTTCATTAAATGAATTATTTGTATCAATTTCGTGTTTGTGTAGGTTTGACTCCGTCCTTGGTGTTATCAGGTAGTGTCATTTATAGACTTGTGTCAAAAAAATTACCAATTCCAATCCACTGATGTTGTCGTTTGCACACCAAAATATTTTATTTAAAACCAAGTAAAAATGACTGTTTCGTAGAATAGCGGTTAAGACTAGGTGTCGATCCATAGGACTAATGATGAATAATTTAATTTAAAAATTTATGTTTGCTTGTGAATGTTTGGAGTGAAAATTAAACTAATTAATTAAACAAAATAAAACAAATATCTTAGAATTTTGAATCTACCCCTACTAACCTTATAATTAGGAGTAATTATACTCAGTCTTTAGAAAATCATTGATTTAGATACTGTGATGTATGTTGATCTTAAATACATCGTCAAGGGAATTTATATATCTAAACCAGAAAGCCACGAATTTTTGCTTAGCATGGATTGTCACCATTAAACTACGCTTTGATGCACGACCTATCTTATTAGGTATGATTCGTCTAACAATTTAAATATACAACAGTGAAAATCATTGTATAACATGATTTGAATAAAATATTTATTATACAAAAAGATCTAGAGTTATATAACTATATCCAAATCAAATCAAAATTAAAAATACTAAATACAACTTATCCTAATTATTTGATAAAAATTTTATTTCTATCCTAAAAGAAAATTACCATACTCTAATATTTATAAACTAAACACTCTCACTCTGGGCCGAAGCCCTCTCCTCTGCCTGGAGCTCTCTACTGAGCTATCTCCCTTCTTCTCCCCCCTTCTTTCTCTTCCGCTTTCTTCTCCTTTTATAGAAGAATTAACCTGCAAATAAAAAAAATCTAATAAACAAATAATATAATAATAAAATATTTTATTATATATATAATTGTTGATTGTTGACGAGGGGGTGTGGGAGGCATGGCCGCCTCTCTTTCTTTCTCTTTTCCTTTCTTTTATTTTCTTTTGGTGCGTCTTTCCTAGGGTGTATAGTAATTTAATGTAACTTTATAATAAAATAATATGTAAAATATTTAAAATCTATTATTTGGACTAATTTATATATAAATATTAAAATATATAAAAAAATACATAAAATTATATAAAATTATTAACTAATACAAATTAATAAGTTAATAAAATGTGTTTTAAAAGATCAAATGTATAATATTTAAGCTCTGATCACTCACTAATTTCGTGTACAATTTAAGTTATAGAACTCGTTTGGGATGCGGGTTTATTTTTTGATTTTTTTAGTTATTTTAGTCTAGAACTAAAAAGTTTCATTTAGAATAAATTTTTTGATTTTTTTAACTTGTATGAGAAAAAAATAAAATGATTCTTATTTAATTAAAATAACTTATTTTATTCCATATAACTATTTTAGTCCAACATGTTATCCCAAACAAAGCCTATCTTGTTCAAAATTTTCATCCTTAATTAGAAGGGTGCAACAATTAGAGATAGATGGGCCAAATAATAGCAATTGGATCCGGACCATAGCCTAGCCCGGAAATAATAGCAATTGGATCCGGACCATAGCCCAGCCCGGAAAGAATCGTCAAGGGAATTTATATATCAAAACCAGAAAGCCACGAATTTTTGCTTAGCATGGATTGTCACCATTAAACTACGCTTTGATGCACGACCTATCTTATTAGGTATGATTCGGCTAACAATTTTAATATACAACAGTGAAAATCATTGTATAACATGATTTGAATAAAATATTTATTATACAAAAAGATCTAGAGTTATATAACTATATCCAAATCAAATCAAAATTAAAAATACTAAATACAACTTATCCTAATTATTTGATCAAAATTTTATTTCTATCCTAAAAGAAAATTACCATACTCTAATATTTATAAACTAAACACTCTCACTCTGGGCCGAAGCCCTCCCCTCTGCCTGGAGCTATCTCCCTTCTTCTCCCCCCTTCTTTCTCTTCCGCTTTCTTCTCCTTTTATAGAAGAATTAACCTGCAAATAAAAAAAATCTAATAAATAAATAATATAATAATAAAATATTTTATTATATATATAATTGTTGATTGTTGACGAGGGGGTGTGGGAGGCATGGCCGCCTCTCTTTCTTTCTCTTTTCCTTTCTTTTATTTTCTTTTGGTGCGTCTTTCCTAGGGTGTATAGTAATTTAATGTAACTTTATAATAAAATAATATGTAAAATATTTAAAATCTATTATTTGGACTAATTTATATATAAATATTAAAATATATAAAAAAATACATAAAATTATATAAAATTATTAACTAATACAAATTAATAAGTTAATAAAATGTGTTTTAAAAGATCAAATGTATAATATTTAAGCTCTGATCACTCACTAATTTCGTGTACAATTTAAGTTATAGAACTCGTTTGGGATGCGGGTTTATTTTTTGATTTTTTTAGTTATTTTAGTCTAGAACTAAAAAGTTTCATTTAGAATAAATTTTTTGATTTTTTTAACTTGTATGAGAAAAAAATAAAATGATTCTTATTTAATTAAAATAACTTATTTTATTCCATATAACTATTTTAGTCCAACATGTTATCCCAAACAAAGCCAATCGTGTTCAAAATTTTCATCCTTAATTAGAAGGGTGCAACAATTAGAGATAGATGGGCCAAATACTAGCAATTGGATCCGGACCATAGCCTAGCCCGGAAAGTATACGTAGGCGCTGACGTTAGCAGTCATACTAGTTTTTCCAGCACTCATCATCCATGATTTCATCATATCTTCCTTTCTCATTCTCTATATAAGTTCATTTCTCATCATCACACCATCTCCATGCCACTACTACTGCTCTTTCACAATATCTAGAGAGAGAAAGACAGAGAGAGAGAGAGAGAGAGAGAGAGAGAGAAAAAAGGAAATGGAGAAAGTGGGGAGGATGAAGCTGGGATCACAAGGTCTGGAGGTGTCAGCACAGGGACTGGGCTGCATGAGCATGTCCAATGGCTACTACGGTCCTGGCAAACCCGAACCCGACATGATAAAACTCATCCACCACGCCATCCATCACGGTATCACCTTCCTCGACACCTCCGACGTCTA